AGTGCAAATAACATTTGGGAAAATGGGAAATGGCCTCTGCAATTACCAGTAGCTTTGTCTTCTTTTTTTATTATTGTTTTTTTTAATTTACAGCTGAGCCTAGAAATCACCCAAGATTAGGCAAGGAAATGTGTATGTGCTAATTAAAAGCCATTCCTTGTGCCATCAGCCTTATTGGCCATACAGCCAAGACAAAGTGTAGGAGGAGAAGGAGGTACAGCTATATTTGCAGGAGTTCATGAGCTTGGTGTCAGGAGCAGAAGTAAAATCCATGCCTGTCCTTCCTAAAACGAGAGCTCTACCCGCTAGATCAAGATGTCTGGCAGAGTTCAGAGATTAATTTCTTTTAATGAAACGCCCCCACACCTCCCCTGATGTCACTTGGTGCAGTGTGGGGAGTAAATTAGTTGCTAAGTTCAAAATGGGCCTGAGGGATTTGACTCTGAGCCCGAGCTTTGGCTGCTCTGCTGAGCAGCTCACACCACCCTCAGTGCATTACTCTACCAAGACTCCGTTTTTCTCTTGAGGAGCACAAGGGAGCTCATTCCTCTAAATTCCTGATGGTATCAGTGTCCATGGATAAACCCTGTGTTTTTATTGCTATTTAAATCCCTAAAAAATATGGGGTGTTACTAATATCCTTCCATCTGTCTGTTTAACATTGGTGACAGCTCACCACCTAAACCTTCTTGGTGTTGGTTTTACTCCTTGGAGCAATGAAAGGAGCTCAAGGGAGCAAAGTGAGCAGCAGCACAGGGTGCTCTCATGGTCAGAGACCTGCTGTTCCTCTGACAAGGTGTGTGCTGAACTTGCATGAAAAACATTTCCATTCCCAGGCAGAATTGCTGTCTGTGGCTTTCCAGCAGCTCTCCAGCTTCCAGCTTAGAAATGGGTGAGTGCTGCTCGTAACAAATGGGAAACCCAAGCTAAATTCCATTTTTCCAGGCATTAGTCCGAAATGTTATTTACTGGTCTGGGGATTTATTTATTTTATACGAAGTACAAAGGATATTGCTGGAAGTGACTTGTGAGGAGTTCAAGAAACAAGAGAGAAACTTCAGTTAAAAGACTTATATGTCAAGTTATCAATTTTGGTGAATTGTGGTGAAGGATTTCTGCCTTTTTTTTTTTAGACAGCATTTCCTCCAATGATTACATAATCTTGGCTTATGGGTCTGAATTTAGTTCTTACTTCAACAGGCATCAGGGCTGAAAAGTGGATGTCAGAAGTCTTAAAAGGATTAGTGCTCCACATAGAACCAATAAAATTGATTTGTGAATTAGGGGGCCCCCTTTACAGAAGTAATAAAGTTTTCTTTCTGCGAGGAGTGAAATTTCCTTCTTGTAAGCTGTCAGTGGAGTCGTTCTGCCTCGGTGTGAGGTATCGACAGAGTGCTCAGGGCAACAGCAGAAAAGGGCAGAGATTAACTAAGGGGAAGGGAGCAATCACAATTGAGCAGAGCTGTTCCACACCAATTGCAAATACAATAAAACTGGAAGGCCCGACTGTGCTCTTGGAAAAACGTCCCTGGTAACTTTAGTAACAGTGCAACGATTTTATATGATGTTGGTAATGAAAACACGTCTCAGAGGGGCTGGAACCTGCACTTCTCTCACTCCGGGGCTTCGACAGAGCCGTGATAATTGTCCAACTCGGAAAACTTCCCTTCCTCTGCTGATTGATTAGTGCACACTCCAGGATTTCAGCTGGAGGAAAATGCCTGGCTCTGACTGAGCAAGATATACAGAAAACATCAAAATCCTGCACTGAAGTGAATGTTAAAAGAAAAGCAACTGAAAAAAAAGCCAGTCGAAGAAATTTGGAGGGGAAGATCTCTGATGAGTAGGGTTTACCTCTCAGGAATTAGAATTAAGTTGTAAGAAGAGGAAAAGGAAAGAGGGAAAGGAAAGAAAAACACTTCTTTTTTTTTTCAGCTGGAAAATAAAAGGGTGAGTGCATGTTAAATGGATAGCTTAGAAATTAATGGATAATGTATCTAAGGATATTTAAAAGACTCCACTCTGGCCCTCTGGAAGTGGGATTCCACTGTGAGTGCTGGGATTATGTATGGATTTACAAGGACCTGCCACATCTGAAGAGCAGTCTGTGATGGCAGAGGATGTGGTGCTGTGCAGCACTAATTCATGGCTGCTTTTCAGCTTGGAAAAGCTTACAAATCTGAATAAGTTGTGTCAAAGTGGTTTTTGATGAGTGGTGCTTCAGAAGTCTCTGTGACCCAGCCAAAGAGATTGTTGGTGTTGGGGCAGAGTGAGAACAACCCTGAACCATAAACCGAATTGATAGATAGGTTATGTACAGCTAATAATATCCCAAAGGCTTTTCCATATATTCTAGATATAAAAATTTATTCAGACTCAAAGTATTTTTGTGTTTTCCAGAGGTTGTCCAAGTAATAACAGGTATATACTTAAATATATATATGGATATAGGCAGAATAAAACAATAGAAAGGAGAAAAGAAATCTTTTGTGCTGGTTTTGCTTTGTTACAAATTAATTAATTCCAGGACTGATCCTTCAGTGTATTTAGGTGCAGAGAGACAAAAAGCTCACCTAAATTGGTGCTGTTAGACTGCAGAAGAGTGACAATATCTGAGCTTTTAAAAGTGTATGTGAGAAACAGGCTGTTGAGTTCCTTCTGATTTCAAAGTCCAGAGCATGAGAACAAGCACACAGCAGAAATTTGGAGGGTCCTTTCTAAAGCAGTGGCCATTCTGTCTTCTGACACATTTGGGCACAAGGACAAAAAAAGATTTTAGCAGGGTTTTGGAAGTCCTGGTGGGGCTGAACCTCAGTATCTGCAAAGTAAGACCTGCCCCTGCCCCAAATTATTGCTTCTTCATGTCACTCATTTTATAGACTCAAGTGATGCTAGTGACTTTTTTTTTAAGTTGCACAGCTTAAGTCATGCATGGAGAAGTATTCCTTCTCCAAAAACAACATCTATTTGATTGTGCTCTATATCTTAGTGTACTAGAACTAATCTGCTAAAATATTCATGTGGAAAAGAAAAATGGGAATAAGAAAAAAAAATAAAGTGTGTGCAGAGTGTCAGAATTAATGCACCTAGTGGAACATTAACTTTAGTATTTCTAAGATTTTTTAACCTTGCTACCTTAATGGTGTTCTGGCACAGCATTTTACAGTCAGTATTTTTCTTTTTTAAACTTCAAAGATAAAAAGAAAGAAGGGTGGGAAGGGGAGGGGTAAGTGGAAGAAAATAAAAGAGCACCATAAACAATAGAGCTGAGTCCTTTGATTGGTGAGTAAAGCTCATAAATGCCTTGAATGAATAAAGTCATATGTAGGATGAAATTCAGAGCATGTAAGCATAGAAAGTTATGCAATAATTAGGAAAAAAACTAATGAGATTTAAGTGAATCTTATGCAGAGCTGACCCTTAGACAGTCTTAAATGAATTTCATCCTCACATGACTGCTCCTCTAAATGAGTGTGCATGAAACATTAATACTTCTGCGAGGAAAATCCCATGTCTGTATTCTATTTTCATTTTTAGCTATGAATTTCTGCTGCACATGTGCTGAACTCTGGGCTTAGTAGTGAGCAGTCTTTATTAATACATGATTTTTAAAAGTATATGAGACATTTGTGATGTTAAAGGCCTCTAAAAATCCACTCTGTAAGAATGGTTTTGAAAATATTGGAATTGAGGGCCTGACTCTATTCTGCTCCCAACTACAAATTACAGAAGCAGCTTTTTATGCTCTGACTCAAAACCAAATATTTGAAAACACTTTTGGCAACAAACCAGCTGGGGAAAATTATATTCCAAACTGAAACATATATAAAAGTGGCAAGTGTGAGAATAAAAGACAGAAGAAGAAGAAATCAGGGTGGTTTGCAATGCAGACAGTTTTACAAGTGTAGCTGTGTTGGGCATACCAATCCCTGCTGGATTAGAGCAGAAAATGGATGCAGGTGTTTCCCACACCTCTGCCACAGGGTCCTGATCTCTAGGGGAGGTTTGGTTGCCCCTAATTCCTCTTGCAGATGAAGGAAGTAGAAAGTGATTCTTTGGTGTTTAATGGAGACAGCTACAAATACACTCGGGAGACCTCACTGTGACCTCACAATTCTGAGCCCAAAGCCTTTATTTTCTCTCTGGTTCCCTTTGTTTAGTCTTTATATAAAATCTGCTCCACCGAATTCGGCTGCTGCAGAAAACTTTCTGTGATTGTTTAATTCTCTGATATACTACAACTCAATTCATCTTCCACCATAACAAACACCCTGTACATAATAAACATCCTGTACATAACTCATTAAGGCAAAACCAAAAATCCCTCTTATATTCTCAGTGCTATTAACTTTTCAGCTGTCATACTACCTTTCATTGAAATTCTGCCAAGTTCCTCCAGCCTAAGCAGAGTGAACATATATCAGTAGGGATCTCCAAGAAACACAAGCTATTTAAATATTTGATGTACTTTTCTCTGAATCAACTCTGAACAAGGCAGGGTGGTAGCAGAATAACGCTGAGGTGTTAGAGGATTTGCATTTGGCAGAGTTACGTGTTTATTCCCATTTGTGGTGATTAAAAATCCCAAACCACTTTCTGTAAGGGAAATACCATGTTTTCTTGACTCAACTGTACACTGAGCATATATATTTTGGATGTACTATACAGTGGGTTTCGTTTTTCCAGTTTCTGGCCTCTGTTTTTGACTCTTACAATTGACTCCTCACTGATAAAATGATATTTCACTGTAAACTGAAGATATTTCAATAGTTTTAGGACCATCTCTGCACGTCTTCCCCTGAACCCTCAGTCATTGACTCCCCATCTATATCCATCCCATGTGATACCAAGATTCTGTTATCTCCATTTCCATAGATGAAAAATAATTAAAAGGCTTGCCCATGAAAAGAATTCCATGGCAAAGGGAGTTACACACATTGTGGGGGCTGAAATCTGTGTAACTGTCTCCTCACCTTTGCTGTTCTCGTTCTCTCTTTCAGACTGACAGCTAAAGCCGTCGCTGTTCTCTTACCAATCTTGGGAAGCTCGTGGATCTTTGGGATTTTGGCTGTCAATGCCCACACATTAGTATTTCAGTATATATTTGCTGTGTTCAATTCCCTACAAGTAAGTACCTGGCGGGAAGGTTTCTGGCTACAGAACTGGTGCTGAGATCCAATTAAATGGATCATTAGTAACATTTTCCAATGCTTGTGCTTATTGCATTTTTTTTTTCCTGTGTTTTCCTTCCTCTGTCTTTTAAGCCTGTCTTGACCACACAGTGCTGGCAATAGCTTGTCTCTGAACAGAACTTGTATCCATCCCACTCCTTAGTGTTTCCAGTAGCAATAATTAAATAAATGAGACAGGGAGCTTGAGAAATGAAATCCATTCTTCCTGGGCCGTGTACCATGGGCAGGATTCTTCAGCAGAAGAATCCAGGCCAATTTTTCACTGTCAATTTAAGGCCTCATTACTGAGACTGAATGAAAGTGAACAGAAGTTTGTGGGGAAGATCAAAAGTGGAACTATTCCATGTGCTGCACGTGGCTCTTGTATGCAGACAACTAGACCCTCATCTTCCTGGTACACCAAACCAGAAAAATAGCTCTGTCCAAGAGGGAATATAAACATCTGCTTAGCTTTAAGCAGACATTTCAGTAGAGGCCTAAACCTATAGGTGTGTTACAGTTCTTTCCCAAATAATAATTACAAAGAGGAATCAAAAATAAACTCCTGTAAATCCCTTTTTTTTGTCTCATGGACACAAAAAGAGTGAAACGGAGTTCTGCCCATGAGCTGGTAAAAAAAGTTCCAATTTTCATCCAAAATAAAAAAAAAAAATAAGTTTGACTGAATACTCCCCCCAAAAATATAGAATTATTCTGGGAGGAAAAGAGGATGGGACTTTTTCACTTTACAGTGGACAAAAAGCCCACAGATAGCAAACTTCTGCTTTGAAAATTTTCCTAGTGCTTTTCTAGTGTGGAAAATACTGATCTGGTGTTTCCCAAATAGCATTTCCCTCTGCCTTGGTCTTCGCAAGCACAAACAAAAAGTTCTCTTGTTGTCATGAAAACGGAATTCCTGCCTATTTTCAGCCAGATTTTTCCTTTAGTACTGCAAGTTTTTAGGAGGTGCTTTCTTACAGGAAGAGTTCTAGACAAGCCTCATAGTTACCTAATGCTGCAGGTCTCTGCAGTGTCACTCAGGGCATAGTTTAGTGCACTCTGTGATATTTATAGATCTCCAGCTGCCCAACAGCTGCTCTGTATGACATTGCTGGATTTGATCCTTCACAGCCAGACCTCACCTTTCTCCCTTTTATCTGTTTCCAGGGATTTTTCATGTTCCTGTTTCACTGCCTTCTGAACTCAGAGGTATGTAACCAAATGGTGTCAACAAATTTGGTGTTAACACCTTGAAAAAATGTAAGTGCAGAACTAGAACAGACTCCCCCTTATTGTTGCCTGCTCTGTCACTGATTGCCTTTTAATTAACACAGGACTGTTAGTGGCTTTGTAACTCCCGGCATTTTGGCCCGTGCTTGACATTTGTTTTAATTAGCATTTAAGAAAGGTTTGAAACAAATAAAAAGGATAAGAGCTGCTGAAAACAGTATAGGGGCATTTCATGAAATCATTCAAACCAGGACTGCAAATGCTGGGAATGTATCTTTATATGCACTGCAGTTTGGTTTTTTTTTTTACTTTTATTATTTTTCTTTTTTTTTTTTAATGAGATGAATGGTAACAGTCACATCTCAGAAAAGTAAAGTTAAATTTTAAAATAAGACCATAAATATAAAGAAAGGTGTATAATAATAAATAATAATTATATTATATAAATATAATTGTTTATATTATTTATATATAATTTATATATATTATTATTTATATATAAATATATATTTATATATTTACATATATTTATATATATTTATATATAATTTATATATATTATTTATATAATTTATATAAATCTTTATATAAATATAAAGATTGTGTCTTGTTTATTAGCACAGTGACGTTGATGTGGAGGAAGGATAACGGGGAAATGATTGTCTGTTCCCCCTGTGAAAATGAACATAACTTTTTCAAAGGAAATCTTCTACCTGGTTTCACTTTTCCCCCCACAGGTCAGAGCTGCCTTTAAGCACAAAACCAAGGTCTGGTCCCTCACCAGTAGTTCCACTCGCAACATCAATGTGAAACCCTTCAATTCAGACATTGTGAGTATTCCTCCTTTCCCCCCCCCCTTTTAATTTAAAAGTGTTCCACATTAAATTCTCTTGGAAAGAACAGGACGTGAGAAGGCAAATGGGTATTTTTAGTCCTAACCTAGTGCATCCTGTAGACAGGTGGAATCAGCAAGCATTAAGTTGCAGCTACAATACCTGTTTTGAAAGCAAAGGACAAAATTCTGCTTTCTGGTAAACTATCAAATAAAAGGAAACAGGGGTTTATGAACCCTGGAGTATAATTTATAAACTCTGGAGTTCAGTCAGACCATTCCCACCAATTGTAATGGACTTTTGCATTCCAGCAGTGTATTGCTCTGATGATGATGATGATGGCTTTTTGATAGGGCATCCTTACATTTAAACCTGAGGGATGAACTCTTGAGGCAACACGTAAATATACTTTTATCCTTTTCCTTAAATTGCCTAGAGGCAAAAGACATTTGTTTTTATGAAGAGCCAGACACCTGAAGTGATAGATATTATTAAGTTATTGTTGCCAATCACCTTAGATCCTGGCAATAACTGCTTAAAAATCCTTTATGGCATATGCTCCCAAGACCCTGTGACAACACTGTAATGCAAAGAGATGCTTTCAAAGCTGTTATTTCATCCGGGCAAGAGTGGTCTGGAGAAATAAATAAATCTATTTTCTATACTATTTTGTTTTCCAGATGACTGGGAACAGGCCAGGCACAACCCCCACCAAGCTGAACACCTGGGATAAAAGCACCAACTCAGCCAACCGTGTTGATTTATCAGCAGTGTGACAGTGACAGCAGCTCCTCGGAGAAAATCAAGCCATACATTCAGGACCTCTGACACCGTGTCCACCAGCTTTTTCTCACTGTTTGTAACAGTAGAAAACTGCCTTTTTTTTTTTTTTATAATCACTGCCTAATAAATTGGGAATTGCCATGTTGTTTTGTCGAGTAAATAGCCCTCATCTGCTTGCCTTCAGAACTGTAGCACATTCTACCACTTGGCTCTGAGCAATACCTGCAAAAATAACCAGCACAAATATACACTGGATGGTTTTGTCAGCAATGATGAAAACACTAGGTATGCAAAAAAGGCTTATTGCTCTCTGAATCATTCCAGCTCCCAGGACTGAGGAAAGGCAACGTACCTCTGGAAAGATGGATTTTTATGCCCTGAAATGAAATGCTTCCCACTGGGATGTTGTAATGGGGCTATTCCAGGCTCGCTGGGCTCTCTCTGTTTACATTTATTACCTTACAGAATCCGGTTATTGAAGTGAAGTTTATTCAAAATAGTATGGTGATTAATTTAAATGCTACAGGGAAGCCAGGACTTGAGGGAGAAGCAGGTTCCAGCTACTCCACTCCCAGTGTGGGCATGGATTAGCAGAGCTAATACACACATATTAGCTGTATGCACATAAAGAGCACACTTAACATGTAAATCTCCTGTATGTGGTCCATTAGTATTTTACATCTTCCTTTTCTGTTGACACCTTTTCTATCAGAGGCAGAAATGGCTAAGGTTGTCCTCTAGCAGCCCAGAGCCTCTGTGTTGCTGATTTGTGTCTGCTGACATGTCTCAATACAAATTATTCCACTGCTTTGCCTGGAGCCTTGGGATGCAATCAACAGCTGTCCATCAAGTGCATTTCTTAAACTCTCTGCAGCTTTTAGAAATCAAAACCTGGCACTGTGACTTATCTTTCTGCTTTTACTGGTCCTTTCAAGACACTGAATTCCTACCACGAAGATGAAACACAATGATACACCGTGAAGACAGCCAGCCTACAAATAAGTCGATGTATTGTTACCTACAGACAGCTTTTAAATAAGTCTCTGCAGTCTCTTCTGTGGTTTTAAACTCTGCTCAGCACTTAATAGCTGCTGTTTTAGTACTGCTGTGAAGCATCTCTAAGGAGAAAAAATACACCCTACCGTTTGTTTAGAGCAGTGTTTTGTAGGTTCTCAGAGTGGTGTTTGGAGCACAAGAGAGTTCGACCTCGCTGTGCCAACCACGCACCTACCCAGCTGGAGGAAAGCAGAGTTTAAGTCCTGGGGCTGGTCAGAGTCCCTGAGTATGTGCCTTGCTCTAGGACATAGCAGCCAGGGTCTCCAGAACAATTTCCAAAGATGAGATCCCCTCCCCTTGTCTCCTTATCCCCAGCTCTTCCCTGTTTGCTCTCCCCGTAACAGACTGCGTGTACTGGTTTGCAGGAATCACCAAGGTAATTACCTTTCCTAATACACTGAGCTGTCAAAGTACTACAACAAGCAGAAAATATGCAAATATTCAGCCTCATGTTTTGCTAAGAGGTTTTGTGATTTTTTTTTTTTTTTTACCTTATTAAATGTTTGTATCTTCAGCAGCTCAGACCATTTCTGGTCCCAGTGAATCCAGTCAGATATTTGTTATTGATTTCCAAGAGAACAGGTATTTACATCCTAATGTGCAGTGGAAATTTTCTGCTATATAGTAAATTTATCAAAAATAAAATAAAATTAAATTGATCTTTAGGGAACAGGAAACATCCATCAGCTGGGACTGAATGTAATGAAGTGTTTAATCCAAAAGACGTGGAATTGAAAGTTTAGAAGAACTTAATGCATTTCATTTCTGTTTGATCCCAAATTAAATTTTGTTCATGTTTCCTTCCTACACTAAGAAAAATGATCTCTTTTAGTTTGGACCAACCTTTTCTCCCCTTTCCACTTCCTGGCCAAGAATTTTTGGTGTGGTCCTCAAACTGAAACTCCAGACCCCACCCAAGTTAGTTTGGGACTACAAATTAAAACATTCTAAAGAAATTATCTTATTTGCACCATATCTATGCTGGATTTCTGCAGCTGGAACAGAGCAGAATGTGGCATAGTGCATATCACACATATACATGCATGAAATATATAGGCTTTAATCTCATGTTTCCTAGTGCTAAATAACTCCAGTTGTTAAGAACTAACTCCAAATGGAGGGTCAGTAAAAGCTAAATATGTAAATGGCTGCGTCTTTATTTTGGCTTTTGTGTATGGCTTTTTCCTGCCTTTTCTGCATTGCTGTGCAAATATATGGGCTTTTTGTGGCCTGAAAATATTTTTTTTGCCCCAAAAGACACAGTGGACGGAGCCCTTGGAATGTATGGAGGAGATTGTAACAGAACAGTACTGTGACAACAGGGTTCAGAGTTTGTGTTGTGTGCAGACAACATATTTAAGCATAGTTTTTATACTGGAGCACACGAGCTTTTTTACTGTGCATCTGATTTTTTGGTTTGTTTTTGATTTCTTTACACTGTGACCAGAGATATAGATTGAAACCTTCCTGGATCATTTCTCTTCTGATCATTGTATCATAGCATAAACAGTTCTGTGAGTGAACCAGACAAGATATAAAAGATTTTTTTAAAAAAAATCTTAATTTTAAGAGTATTCCCCTCTAGACAATTTTCATTGCCTGCATTCCCTCCTGTGCTGATGTTTATTGGTCACCTCTGTCACTGCCCAAGGTCCATTTGAAAAAACCCATGATACACCAATGACAGGACAAAATGACAGTGGCATAAAGGGCTGAACCAGTTTTCCATCCAGGTATTGCCCTATTTTAAAATTGTTCTCCAAAAATAAGACGAGCATAGAAATGTATTTGGCTTTATCCCTTTGAATGTGACATAGATGTATTGTGTGTTGAGGGAGCATTTGTTATCCTGTATCTCCTGAGATCCACCGGGGATAACCTGCATCCCTGATTTAACTGTTGAACGTGGCTCGTGAAAGAGTTTATCTTGTTGGTTGTGCCCCAGGAGCAGGAGCACTGTATTTATAATACTGCACTGGGGATGGGGTTTCTTCTGTTTTTGATAAACCAGTAAAAAGAACCACGTTGCCATCTAAGTCCACTCTTCTTGTTTGATTCAATGTGTTTTTGTTGGTACTGAATGCAGCAAATGTACTGAATAAGAAGTGTTCAAATGAATCTCTAAACAGTCTCTTCCTGTCCTCAATCTTTTGAAGCTTGAAAATCTTGCAGTTTTATTTATGGGCTTGTATATAGCAGCTATTGCAATATTTTTTTTTCAGGACAGCATCATTTTGTCAACAGTATCAAAGCTTAATTGAATGAGATGTGAGTTTTAAAAACAGGTAATGTAGCAAGACTGACTTTGCCAGTAAGCAGTAAAATAATTTAGTTTTGTTGTTTTTTTCCCCTCAAATAAATAAGAAATCTTAATTTCCTAAAAGAAGTTTGTATTTGTTAAGATTATTCTGAAGCTTTGGCTCTAGGACTGGTTTCGCTCTGTAGCAGAGCAAAGGGTCACAATGAAATGAATTATAAAAGTGGAGATTTCTTTAGCTGATGCATCTTGTATTAAAACTTTACTGCTCTACACTTTTACCTGAAAAGGACAGTGTAGATCCAGAGATGTTACATCTCAATGAACAAGCAGCTCCATCAGAGGGATGCAATCCTGCAGCTCAGGTTTTCAAGGTTAAAGCTGGTTCTCTGATGATTAATAGGCTGCCAGCTGCCTCCTCTGGGTTCCATAGGTGTGTAGATGTGGTGGGGTGTGTGATGAAAAATAACCAGAGCAATTATACCCCAAAAAATTAAAGATTAGAATTTGGATAAGGAAGATTTTTCATCCTCTTTCCATACCTATTCAAATAAACCTTTTTCCCTTTGTATGCCTTCAAATCATATAGCAAGGCATGCATAAAAGAAAGTTTCTTGCTATGCTGTGAAACACAGAGGTTATTAACATTTATCATCCATGACAGAATAATAAATTAGATAATTTTGGCACTGGTTTACATCATGTTTGCCTTTAAAAATACTTTCATTATATCTATGTTATGCTTGGATGGCTCCATGTAATATGTCACAGATAGTTATTGCTATAATTGCCCTTGTTCACACAATTTTCCTTCTCAATAATCCCATATGTTCTTGGAATTTGGAGGCCATATTTCATCTTGTCAAGGATGATTACAGTCCCACTGACATCAGCATCTTCACCAGGTGCTGACACACGACAGAAAAATGGAGTCATAAGGGACTTCTAAGCACTGTTCAGTGCATCTTTACCAAACACCTTCCTTGCTCAATGGCTGATTTGCTCAAAGTAGTTCCCAGCAGAGCAGTTTTAGGCTGTCCAATTTACCTACACCAAAGGCAACTGGAATTTTCTCTCCTTCTGTTATTTTCTGTGGTTCTTGTCCAAAAGCAGGCTTGATTGGGCATTGCACATGTTCCTTTAAGCATTCTTGGTGCTAAGCATTTGCTTACATCTACTTAGAAACAGAGAATAAAGCATTAAAAAGTTCAAGGAAAAAAAATTGCATCTGAATTAGCAGCTCTGCCGCTGCAAAAGCCTAAAGTTTTAGTTCATGCCCATAATATTCTGAAGGAAAATGCACAATAAAACAAAACCAAGTTTTTACCTTCCAAAAGCGTCTCAAGTCAGGCAAAGATCAAATAGTTCTTGGAAAACCTGTGTCTTACACAGTAGGATTTGGACAACCTAAAATTATGTTGCTTGTAGAATGTTTTCTCCTGGCATTTTTGTTTCAGATTCTGCACAGGTCAACTAAATGTGACTCTTTTTTGATGTGGCACCTTCTCATTTAGCCAGTTGTGTATCACCAATTTGTCGTAATTTTCCATCTCCAAAATAAAAAAAAAAAAAAAGAGGGGGGAATATGTGGGCATGTGTTCATAGAGGAAAAAGGGCAAAGCTCAGTCCTCTTACTGACCTGTGGCCTTTCCTGCTCTCTGCTGATGACTATGTGGGAGGCTTCAAGTTCTGAAGCTTAGCAACTGTGAATATTTGCATGGATGGCTTTCTGCAGCAGCAGCAAAGAGCATAATTATAAAAAAAAGTATCTGTGACCTGTGTTTTACAAGTGGTAAGCTGAATATTGGGCATTTAAATTGTATATTATGCATTAAAACCTCTGATGTGTAATCAATAGTGCAAGTTTACATATCAACCCCATGATGGAAGGATATTTTTCAGTCCTATGCTTTCATATTCCTGAAAGGCTGCTAAATATTGCCTGCTAATAGCAGCAAACCAACACATAGCATGCAAAAGGTATCCCAGAATTAGTTCTTAAAACCAGACTTTCCATTAGTTAGTGAGGTTATAAATAATTTATCAGACTTTCAAACTAAGGGGATACCAAAACAAGGGGCTGATTATCACCTGCCAAAAGAAATTAGTTCAACGTTGAGAACTCTCTAAGCAGCCTGCTGGAGCCTTTACTGCTCATCAGGTGCTAGGAACAGCGTTCAATCA